AGCTGTTTAAGTCTCAAAAGTAATAATAAAGTGGAAAAATGAAGACCTACACACCCATAGAAGTTTGTTTTTCTTCATTGAATTTTCCAGAAATGTAAATACACCTAAACATTATTTTATTTATTTGGCACATAATATTGACAGGACCATTTGGTTAGGTTGAAAAAGAAACATTTCTGCTTTGCTCAGTCTTGTGATTGTGCACCTCTATACTTACTGCAAAGATATATTCACCAAAAGCAGCAACACCAAGTCCGCTGCGTTTGCTGCTCATGTTGGCAATCATGGTCCACTGGTCTGTGTCTGGGTTGTAAACCTCAGCTGTTGATAGATACTCGCTTCCATTAAAGCCACCGCAGATGTACACCTGGAAAACATTTTAAAAGAAAAGTGTTTGGTTGAAGAGGTCTATCTCTAGAAATCCCCCTACCATTATAAATATGTTGTTTTTAGGACTAACTTTTAACAATAGGCAAACGTGTGTGACACCATGAGATTTTTAATATACCCTTGTTGCCCTTAAAATAAACTACTGTCACTCACTCTGCCATTAAGGGTTGTACAACTGGCATCACTCCTTTTCTCATGCATGGAAGATATAAGTGTCCATTGGTTGCTTCTTGGATCGTGGCGCTCAACAGTGTTGAGCCGTTGGGGTCCATTGCAACCTCCCATGGCGTATATGAACCCATTCATCACGGTGACACTAATGAAGCTGCGCGTGCTGTGCATGGGTGACACCTCATGCCAGGTCATTAAGGCCAAGTCAAGTCTGTGCACGGCATTGAACTGCTTAACACCATCATAGCCACCAACAATATAAACTGATCCATCGAGGAAATCACTCCCATGATAAACCAGGGAAGTTTCTGTGGTCATAGGCGCATGTTTCCAGTACTCAGTGTTTGATTCATAGGCTTCAATCAAACTGGTAGGGCCTCTCTCAGTCCATCCTCCTATAGCCAGCATGAGGGCGGGGGGGACTCGGGGCTTTGCCAAAGTTGGGCAGATGAAGTACCTGTAGCTTGTCTCCCTCCAGTGGTCTGGAATGATTTTCAGAGAATGGAAGTACTTCGCCTGACGTTCTGGAATTGATTCCACAAATTCCCTCTCATTCACATTTTCACGCAGGTACTTTGGAGACATCCAAGCCAGTCTGACCTGTAAAGAGACATAAGCACATGAGTTAGGTTTATAAAGCAGGGGTGCCAAATCAACGGGGGGCCCAGCAAGAACCACAGGTCTTAACCCTTGCCTTTCCAAGACTCCGTCTGCCTTGGTTGATTAATTATAAAATTGTTTAAGTGGTTGGTTGTTTTTCTTTGGTAAAGTTTTTTTTAAACCTAAAATTGTACTCAATCTAACCCTGTGTTTTTAATTGTGACCTTAGAAAATTAGAGAAAAAGTAAAACCATTTTTCACTGCTGGAATGTAATTATTTCATGAATCATATCCTTGTCCTTGTGTCCAGCCAAGTCCTTTTCTCACCCTCCTAAACTCAAGTTTTTATATTCCTATTCTGATTCCCTAATAATTAATTTCTATATTAAACACAGCTAAAAGTAGCACCTAGGCACTTGTGCCTCAACCTATTTGGCCACTAGATGACAGACCATATACACTCCCTACTCTTGGTTACTGCCTTTATGACCCAGATCCAGATCTGCAGTTGCTATCAATATTTTGATTGTTCATGTATGTAATTATGTATGAAAGATTTGGGTAAATTGTAAGTGAAGACTGTTTTTGTCAAAGTACCTTGGGAAACAGCAGTGAGCTGTGTTCTTTCCTTTCCTCAGGTGCATAGTTCATCCATTTAAGGATGGCTTCATATACTATCTCTTCCCGCTTTACAATTAGCTGGTCACTCCCAATGATTTCAGCAAGACTCTGTGCAGAGAGAAGAAGGAAATCTCCACAAGTAGCGACAACCTCCTCAAAATGTCTAAGGACATATGAAAAGGCCTTGTCTCTCAGTTCAGGGTGGTAGAACGTATACGTAAGCTTCCAGATTTGGATGCAGTTCAGGGGGCTCAGGTGTTTCTCCAAGAAATCACTGCAAGCTTGTAAAAGGCCACTAATACCAAAGTGGTCTGCCATTATGAAGAGCTCCTCAGCGTTTTCGTTTGTCAGATGAACATAGCCATTGTAGGCAAAATCAATAATGAAGCACATTTGGTAGGGTGTGACTCCAGGGATGTCAAAGGTCGCACAGGCTGGTGTTGACCAGCGGCTAAACAGAGCCCTGTGAAAAACAAAGAAAGAGAAAACACTTATTAAACATTTGATGAATAGACAAATCGTTTCAGATCATTACGAAGATCCTGAATCCAAAAGCAAACGATAGCCAGAACTTTCCATTAAATTTACTTCTTATCACAGACTCTTGCTCTTATTTGTTTTCCATTAAGTCTCTCCATTTGTCAACAGGCAATTTTTTTCACTCTCCAATAGTCTGCTGTATCTACTGCTAAGACCTTACCTGAAATATGGGCTGCATTTGCACAGGACAAGCTTGTGCACGGAAAATTCAGCACCATCCACCCTGATGACAGCGTCACACAACTGCCTCGTCAGGCGAAGCTCATTATGCAGTGACATGTTTTCTCTTATTTGTCCCTCCAGAGGATTAAAAGCCTTTCTGGCCTGCTGATGTTGACCTTGCAGGGGCAAAAATTATTCTGCTTGAAAATGTTGCTTGGATAATACAGGTCCTGTTCCATTGTCATGTCAACCAAATTTCAAATGAAGAGTTCTGAGATAATTTCAACTGTCAGAATTTGATTTATTTACGCTTAAATTCACCCCCCCCCACTGATAATACACATATGAGAACCAAATTATACTAATTCAATCAGGTGTTTGTGTGCCTGTTCAAATTTTCTTTTGTCTGGGCAAAAATATATTACATAAAAGAAAGAATTGTGCCATTAAAATATGTGTTCTTAAAAAAAATAAAGGTGGAAGTCAGAAGTCAAAACTTGTGGAAAAGTGTGACTGGGTCTGACAGCTAAACTCTGCAAAGAAGCAGATGAACTGAATTACTTTAACAAAAAAACAAAAGGTATTTATAAAACTTCCAGAAGAACTCCATCTTTCTTTCCGATTTGACTGTTCCAAGGTTTTACTCACAAACTTTCACCCTATCCCACCAACTCTCTGCAGTGGGAGGAGTTTCTAACCCATGACCCTATTTTAAAGTCTACAATTTCTGAAGTATATAATGAAATTCTTTCTTTTGATTTATTTTTTTTGTTGCTACTTACTAGTCAAGGCTGACTTGGAATATGAGCTTGAATTAAATTGAGATGATGATTAGAGGGAAAAATTATCTCAAAAAGACAATCTGTGCATGATTCTCTCTGATTTAGTTCTGTTCAAGTCGTGGACCCTTTCCCTTGTATTTAATTATTTTCTTTTTATTCTTCCTCTCTTATTCCTCTTTTTTCTGGTGGTGATTGTGGGGGTGGGGTGTGTATCCACCCAACCCCACAAACCCCAACCCCACAACCCCTCAAAATTAAATCAATTATCTTTCAAAATTGATAATTAGTTTCTATATCGCAATTTCAATCAATATTCCTTTAAACACAACTCTTAGACCCTAGAACCACTTCATGGAGCAAGAACACCACAGGAAAATGATATAATCACTGACACCTAGAGTTGTTTCTGTTTTGTTCCTGTTGGGAGCTGGAGAAATTCCACCTTTCTCCAGCAGAGTCCGCCGTGGATCCTCTGAGGGAGCCTCCTGCACAGCTGCAGCTCGTCAAGATCATCAGAGGATCCACTACTTAAGCTGTCTTCAGACCTTGCCTCAACGCCGCAGTGTTGTTCCAGTTGGTCAGCGCTTAAACCTAGATCCTCAGAGTAATTCGATGACTTTTGAATCCAGCTTGGATTCTAATCCTTGTTTCTGTTTTCCAGGAAACCTGTGCCTCCTCTGTGTAAGCTCAGGAAGAGCTAACCTGCCGAGCCGACCCTCAGAGCCAAACCTGAAGATTCACAAAGAACCTCCAAGCAGCTCTGGACTAGAGCTGGGAAACCCAAAGCCAAGGTCTGTTCAAATAAGACGTGAGACGCTGAAGCAGCAAACGGACTCTGCTGATGAACTCTTCTCCAGAACCAACAGAGACTCTCCCAAAGCTAACCTCAAGAACCCTCAAGGTACAATCAGTAAACTTCAGGAAATCAAACTTCTGTTGGCAACGCTAACTGAACTGTCTCTCACGCAGACTCCGGTGAACCAGAATCCAGGCCCCGAACCTGAACCAGTATATTCTGTGTGCGTGTGCTTAAATAAACTGTTAAACTTTCATCCTTGTGTCCGTCAGTGGTGTTCTGCATTCTTGGGTCGCTTTTAGTGAACCCATCATGACAGTTCCATTCAAAGGCTATGCTCATTAAATCTTTCTCTGCAGATCAGCGGTTTCATTAGAGTTTTACCTTTAAAACTGCAGAGGCCTACAATGTCTTTACCAGAGCCTGGTACAATCCTCTTTCCCATTGTGACGCTTTTCTCTTTTTTTTCTCTTATCTAATGTAAGACCAGTGCCATTTAGGCCTTTAAGGCGCAGCAAGGCCCCCATTTATAATATCTGTGGCCTTTTCCTGTACAGGCTGTATTGAAACTGAAATGTCTCCCATGCTGCTCCAGGTTCTGTGACAATTAAAGCAACCATTAAGCCATTGCTTATTTCTAGACCCATGGTAACGGATGTTTTATAGAAACACAAAAATTCAAGAAGTTATAAAAAGTTATAAAAGTGTCTCCTTGTGTATCTTGGTTGTTTGTGAACTTTAGTACACACAGAACCAAAGTACACACATACATATTCCATAGCCTTTTTCTGGTTACTTTGACGTCTCTCAACGTAAGATCAGTCTGTTAACAAAACTTTAAGACTTTTAAGTTTTAATTTCTGCTGTTTCCTAAGACTCTCCTTTTTTATCGTAGTCACAATAAAGCAATATTTATAAATTTAGTGGTTTCAGACTGAGGAGCTGGTTAAGGCTCTGCAGGATTTGGAGAACGCTGCATCAGGTGACGCAGCTGTTCGGCAGAAGATCGCCTCCCTTCCACAGGAAGTTCAGGATGTTTCCCTCCTGGAGAAGATCACTGGTAAGCTCTGACAATCTATTTCTAAGATAGATGTATTTAGATTGTATTGTTTATGTAGCTTGGGTTGATTTTTACATGGTTTTGTTTTACAATGCAGCTGAAGTTCATGATTGTAATATAATCCAGAGTTACTGTTTTAGGATTTAGTTCCAAAACAAACAGAAATGTAAAGATAACAAGTGAATATTTAACAATAAATTGTTAAACATAGTGTCTAGAATAAATTCTAAAATCATGTCATTTATTTAAATGTAATCATTCAGCTTGGTTGAATATTAGTATTATAGATATTATTAAACACCTGACAGGACCAATTCATGCTGAGCAATAAAGAACAAAATCTACCAAATTAATGTATTTGAGAGACTATAAAATAGTTTAAAGTTTTATCACATTGTTATGAAAACTTAACGATCAACTTTATTTTTAATTCAGACAAGGATGCAGCAGACAAGCTGTCTAAAACTGTGGATGAGGCCTGTTTACTGCTGGCGGAGTACAATGTACCAAATGCAGTGGTGTTACTGTACTGACACATTGTAGCACTTATTTTGAGTAGAATCTCAAAAGATTAATATTCTAACACAATCTGCTCTTGCTTTGTAGATCCATCTCACATAAGATCAAAAATAGTTTTTGGCTAGAAATAAGGTTTGTGAGACTTGGTTTAATGAATTGTTTTTCTGTGAGGGAACTAAGGCTATAATGAAATCATGCACCTAGTCTGCCTTGGTGGTGATGGAGGTGTAATAATTTAAGGGGTATTTTCTTGCAATACTTTGGTACCACTAAGACATAGCTGTCAAGTATTAATGTGGTTTCTTGTGCAATTCCCCACTTGAAAAGGATAGTCCTCTACATTCCAACTGGATTTCACTCAATGAACAGCCATTTGATAATCATTTCATTATTTATTTATTGAAAATAGAAGGTAACACAAAACAATTAGTCATTTAAGATTAAAACAAAATTGTACCCATCATTAATTTAAGCACTTTAGCCCTTTTTAAATAAAATATTTCCCACCATGTTCTAAAATAAACAAACATATTTTTTTAAATACATCAACAATTTAAAGTAACTTATTTTTTATTTATTTCTTAGCCAAATTAAGTTGATCAATTTTAGCCAAATGAATTAAATCTTAAATTTTAGCCAATAAATTAAACAGTATATTTTTTTAGCTAATTTAAATATTTTAGCAAACTATAGTTTTTAACTTCTACATTTTCAAAAGTTTTTAATGTTATCCTATACAAATTAAGAAAACAAAATGTACTTCTACAAACAATTGCAACTTTTAAACCATCTTTTCTTTAAATCAATTTGTTAACATACCAACATAAACATTTCCACAAATAATAACCAACAACAGTCCAACCACAGTCCGTATTAACCTTAATAAAGTTCTTTGATTTGAAAGTCCAGCCAGAGAATCAAGGGCATTAAGAGTCTTACCGGTTGTCTTTCAGAGTTTTTGTAGAAGGACTTGTTTGCACAGTCACAATGGAGCAGAATTTTGGCTGTCTCCAAACATGAGCTGCTTACATTTCTGCCATGCAGCAGTTCTTGGTCCTTTTCTTTAGAGGTCCCTGGCACGCCCAAATTGCTGGGAGATTAGTTCCACCTAGTGCCTCCCTGCTGATGGGAGGGGAGGAGGGGCTACCTGGCAGCTTGACAGAACACCTCCCACTCGATTTCTCCATGGAAACGATGGAGAGATCGCAGCATCAGCAATTGCAAACTGACGGTCAGGACCTTCTCCAGTCGGAGACTTGTTCCTCAACTGGCAGCAGAACAACTAGGCGTCGGACATCTCTATGCAGGACTGTGGTTTGGGCAGTTTCTTTCAGGACTCTTGATGGTTTGCTCAATGTGGGTCCTGTTGCAGAAAGATTGGAGCTTTGAACTACTTTAACGTGTACATCCCGAACAATGCCTTTAGCATCAGGGTTGACACTCACGACCCGTCCCAACTTGAATTGACCTCTTACTGCATTTTGGTCACATAACCAAACAATATCTCCGACTGAGACATTTTGACTTGAGGTGTGCCATTTGCTTCTCACGAATAAGTTTGGGCTGGCGAGCTGGCTCCAAGACCTCCAGAACTTGTTGACTTGGTGTTGCATTTCTCTGAGTCTTTTGTAAGGGTAGCTTGCGAAGTCAAACGTTCTGATGTCACCACTTGAAGAGGCACGACCCAGGAGAAGTGTGTTGGGTGACACGTACTGAACACAGTCCTCACAGCTCTGCACCCGAGCATCTATTGGCCGTTCGTTGGCGAGGTTTGCAGCAAGCTGTAGAGTTGTCTGAAGCTCGCTGTAGCTGAGGCTTGTGTTGTTACCCAGGCTCTTGAGTGCCTTCTTGACGATGCGGACAGCAGCCTCAGCAGCCCCATTGCGATGAGGGGAGTCAGCTGGATGAATTGTCCAATCCCACTCGGTACCTTTCTGAGCAGACATTTCCTCTATTGCAGCTTTATCTTGAGAATCCAGGAACTGGTACAACTCTCTAAGGACAGGTTTGGTGCCGATAAAGTTTGTTCCTGGATCGGACCAGATCTTCCTTGGGTGCCCTCTAATTGCAGTAAATCGTTGATATGCCATTAAGAAGCTTTCTGTGGACATTGTGTTGACCAGGTCCACGTGAATTGCTCTGCTGGCCATACAGCTGAAAACGACACCCCACACCTTCATTGAGACTCGTTTCTTTATGTCATCTTTGACAAGGTAAGGTCCAAATAGATCAACTGTGGTGAACTCAAATGGAGCTGCTGGGCTGCTTCTTTCTGGAGGCAGGTCACCCATCACTTGTTGGCATCTCTTTGCCTTGGACTTTTTGCAGAAAAGGCAGTGTTCCACTACTTTCTGGGCAATTCTCCATCCTTGGATGACCCAAGCTTTCTTTCTCATTTTTAGCAGGGTAGCAGCCACACCTTCATGACCCTCATTGTGTGCCTCTTGTGCCAACAAAGTGGAGACCCATGCATTGGAGGGTAGGAGGGGAACTGCCATGCCATCTTCCTTGAAGCCATGAATTCTCCCACCACAGACTAGTAATCCTGTCTCTGGCTCTCTGTACACAACCAAACGGTCTGTTGTGGTACCTGGGAAGGTCATTCCCGCTTGAGCAGCAAGGAAGATGTCTCTGAGTGCATCCTGACGTTCTATGGCAGTGATGACTCCTTCAGTTGGAACCGCCTCCCACTTTAGGGTTGTCACGGACTTGCTTGCTGGTAAAAATTTTTTAGCTGCTCTCCAGACAATGGCAACGGTCTTGACTAGGCTTTTTAGGCTACTGAAGCGTCTTCCATCCAGTAAGTTTTGGACAGCTGTACCAGCGGGAGGTCTTCGCTCAGGACTTTGTCTATTTCTTTTTACTTGGGCTCTGGTGAGTGCTGCAACGAACGACTTCTTTTGCATTTTGCTAATGCTTTCTCGAGCAGCTTCAGACACATCCCTTGCTGACATAACTGGCCACTCTTTCTCGGGGAGGCAGAGAAACTTTGGCCCTTGCTGCCACTCTGAATTGACATCAAGGTCTGTTGGCCCAGCTCCTCGAGTGATGATGTCAGCTATGTTGTATGATCCAGGGATCCACCACCAGTCCTCTAGCCTTGTGTTACTTTGAATCTCTCCGATCCTATTAGCGAAGAAAGTCTGAAACCCGTAGCTCTCACGCTGGATAGCTCCAAGAACTGTCTGACTGTCCAATAAATGGAACCACTGCTTGATTTTGATCTGGCTGTGTTGTTCAAAGTACTTCTTCAGGCGGCTTGCAAAGACAGCACCACAAAGCTCCGCTTTGACTGCGTCCCCCTTGTGGTCTAGGGGCGTTAGCTTTGCTTTTGACTCCACTAGTCGAACTATTGTTTGTTCTTGACAGTTCCATCGTAGGTAGAGGACAGCACTGTAAGAGCTTTCACTACCATCTGAAAAGGTGACTGCGATTGGATCTGATGCTGCATCTGGTGGAGTGAGGGCTCTTGGAAACTTGACTTTACCTAACTGGACAAACTCCTCAAAAAGATAAACTGCATCTCTGCGGAGCTCATCAGACAAGGCAAGGTCCCATGTATCTTTGACAATATTGCACTTTGGTTTTGCCTCTTGGAATGCTCTTCGGACCAAGATGGCCCCTTTTTGTTTTGCTGGTGTGGTCAGGCCTATTGGGTCGTACAAGCCAGCAACTTGACTTAGCAAATACGTCTTGTCAGTGGGTTTGGTGTCCTAGCTCGAACTTCTTCCAGCAACAGATCCTGGCCAAGCCTCATTTTCTTTTTTCGTCTGGAGAAGTTGACTCTCACCATGACATGCAACTTGTCCTCATCCACAATGTAGCCGAGACCAAGTGCCTTGTTATCTTCTTCCTTTAGTTGATTTGGCAGGACAACAATATTTGGTGAGGCCTCTTCTTTCTGTCCTTTACTTTGCCCAGAAAAGACCCATGGCTTTAAAGCGAACCCTCCTGCCACTAGGATCAGCTCCACGTTATTGGTGATGACCTCAAGTCTTTCACGGCAGTTGTGGGATGTCAAGATGTCGTCGACATAACTGTGTTCATGTAATACCTGGCGCTCGTCCTTTAGGTGACTGAACCGAGGCAGGTTCGCTGTCTCTCTCATGGCGAGTTGTGCTATGCACCCTGCTGGCTTGTCACCAATATTCACTCTTGTAATTGCGTACTGTTCAAGCTCCTCATCCTCCGAATCACGCCACAAGAATCGGTGCAGATGGACTTCTTTTTCCTCAAGCCAGACAGAATTGTACATTTTCCTGATGTCTCCTAAGGCAGCAAAGGAGCCTTGGCGAAATTTGAGGAGGACAGCCCGGATTGGATTGAGGACGTCTGGACCTTTCATCAGGAGATCGTTTAGACTCTGGCCTTGGTATTTTTGACTGCTGTTCCAGACGAGTCTCACTGGAGTTGTAACTGAGTGGGGGTTAGGGGCAATGAGATGACTTATGTACCAAACAGGTCCCTTCCAGGTAAGTAGATCCTCCTCAGTCAACTTTTTTGCAGCCCGGCGGTCAACCATCTTGTGCACTTGAGCACTATAGGCCTTTTTCCATTGTGGGTTTTTTGCTAGTTGTCTCTCAGTTCTGAGAAAGGTTGCCTCCACTGCTTTTATATTGTTTGGCAATGTCGATGGATCTATGAGCCATGGGTATTTTGCATGCCAGTGAGTCCTATTACTGTGTTTGTCTGCACCAGCATATGTCAGGACACTCTTCACCACCTCTAACTCTCTTTCTTCAGCCAAGGTCATTTCTTTGCCTCCGGGCTGGCAATTGCCGCAGCGGCAGCCTCCACATCTTGGGGTGCAGGCAGCGCCGATGCTATCCCACCTCCACCACTCAAGAAACTCGCGAGCGGCGGCCACGGAGCACGAATGCTTGACAGCAGGTAAGACACAGACATGTTCTTTATACATCACCGCAGCTGTTCTCATGGACCTGGCAAAGTGCGTTCTGGACTGGTGCGCTGTAATGGT